GGGGGGGGGGGGGGGAGTATAAAGTCAACTTGTGAAGCCTTGGGAGGTTGACTTTCCAAGGGGTTGGAGTTTGTCCCAGTACATATTCAAATCGCGAGAATAAATAATGAGACCGAAAGTAAAAATGTCTGTTGACGGAAGCCGAAGCGCATCGGTGAGTAAAAACAGAACTAAAACGAAGTCGTGCGTCAGATCGATCAATATTATCGAATGTTCACGAATTTAAATAATCCTCAAATATGATTGACAGTATTATGCAACTTTGATAATTATTTTCAATATGGCTGTCATTATCCTTGACAATTTCTATGTAGTTTTCTACTTCGCGTGGATATATATAGATATACATATATATTGCACGTGAATAATGAAAAAGATATCAAAACTAGTAACGCGCATCGCGGCTCGCGTATCTCGTCGTTGCAATGTGGGAGAAGCTTAATGTACCGACTCTGCTTCTGACATTTGCAAATTAGCTAGAGTCTCTGTGCCCCTTGGAGTCTTGATCCCGTACAAAGTATAGCACGATACCGAACACGCCCGAGAAGACCCGAAGATCCTCAAGGTGTAAACCCACCCTCGTACGACTTGAATTTCCGTTAAAGCCGGTATATCAGAAAGATTTGAAATTTTCATGGTAATTCCCAACCAATCAGAATCGCTCTTTTTTCCCGTCGCTTCATCTCAACAGCCAATTAGATTTCTTCTTCCGCACTGACTGGCTCGGCGTATCGTAGAACTGTTTCACAGGGGTGACAAAGGGGATTGAAACTTACACAGTGTAACGTTACAAGAGATATTGAAGGGAGTTAAGCTAAGCCATGCAGACAAGTACTAATTGAGATACTAATAATTGACTAAAGGAAGTCAGACTTGTACCCTTAGTACGTGGTACATAGAGATTCACCCGCAGGAGCCCTCTGGCGTCGTCAAACGACGGCAAACTAGTTGACGCCAATACGTTTTATCGTGCTTATCGATATTGATCTGGAATGGTGGATTTCACCCCTTGTGGGTTCTCGGTTACTCTTACGTCTCAAAACTATTCTTTGAGCATCAATGCTTCGTACAGGGACGTTTCAGTGAGCTGACTGAATTCCGATGGTCGAACGAGCTTTATTAATTAAGTGCGAATAAAATTAACTAGCGAATTTATTCCAGTCACCCAGTATACATTGATTTGTACAATATTATATTTTCAAGTGTAACGGGTCGTCATTAACGAATAATTATTGCATACGGTATTACTGTATCGCGCATATTGAAATTGAATTAGCTGAAACGTCATTCAGTCGTACCAATATTTATACTGATAACACTCGTATTATTTTATCCGATTTATCGTACATTTAATCACCGAATGCATTCAACTCAGAATGGGACACCACGTGTCTGATTGACTCAGAATCAACATGTGACACGACCTGACGTCATAATTGCCAGTGCCGGTTTCACTGTGTAATTGCGTAAGGATGATATATGAATAAGGAACGTACATATACAATGATACTAGAGAATCAAAATTCAAAATGAATAATCCTAAAGTCAAGGAACGTGAAACTTGGTCCAAAAATTTACTAAGGCCACGTAAAGTGTGATAAATAAACAAAATTACAATTATTATTCATTCAAAACTTTCCCGTCAAATTATTTGTATGATTGTCAATAATGAATTGTGAATAATTAATCACTGCTCGTAAAAGTATCTATTTAATTTTTACCATCAAATAAATAAAAAGGTTAATTAATTCCTTACGTCTTTCTCATTCCAATATCCAATCTTTCGACTTGATACAATTTTCACTGATTCACTGATCCTTACACTTGCACTGATAATAAAATTAATTCAACGTACAGAGCACGTATTAATTGAAGCAGTCACGATATATATTAAAGATAATTTTTGAAAACACAATTGCATTTAAAAAATTCATATCATTTTCTGTGTTAAGCTTCAATTTTCAATTGAATTCAAGAAGTCATTGACTTCGAGTAAATTCATAATGTCACCGTTAAGGGCTAACCACGATAACACCTAATGAATGACGTAATGATCCTAAATCACCGATAACAGTATTAATAAGAAAAGTTACATCCTCAATTTTAAACTGAATCCACAATTAAGACACTTTCAGCGTCTCTTATCGTTTCGACACATCATAGTACTACAACTAGAATTAATTAACACGTTAATCACCATAGCAACGGACACGACTGATTATCATTGAATTATTATCGCGTGGTTGGAGGCACTATTGATAAAATTAAATGTAGCAAAGGTCCAAGAGACAGGATCGCGACAAATTCTTGGACAAGTTACACGCGCACTGTGCGTCAAGATAAATTGTCATGGACAATATTCCGCAGTATAAATAATGAATAAAAATTAAATTAACAAAACTCAACTGACGAGCGATCAGCACCGGATTACTTTCCACGAACTATCATTTGAACAAGACCGAGACTCGCTGGCGTGCGAAGAGAATATAAAAATGGACGCACTGAAACGATCCTCCAAATTCTTCCGATCGCAACACGATGATTCACTATGAGAATAACAGTAGGTGTGTCTTGTACGATACAAGATAACAGATAACGAACACACATTTAAGCTGTATATCGGCACGTGTTTACGATTAAATATTGCACTACACAATCAGTGATAAAAGTAACTAATAAATCCTCTGTTTTATGCAGAACGTTGTACTCGTGTTCAGCCGTGAAGTTTCGACGAGTCGCTAAGTAAGGAAAGGTTAGGACAAACAGACTGTAAAGTTAAGTCCCGTGTACGGCAGTATAGCGCGAGGAAGAGACAGACAAACAGATAGAAGTGGGGATACGACGAGTGCCAGCAGCAGCAGGGTTTGAAAAGCGGTCTGACTATATATTGTGGTATAGTTGGTAGGAGCTGTCGATTCTTAGAAGAGACAACCGTTGCTCGAGGTAACCTAACGGCTATTGCCTACACGGTTTGGCTGTAGACCAAACAAACGTGAACAAGGACGTATCCGAATTTTCATTGCGTAACTAGTTGTGTTGAATATTATCCGTTTTAGAAAAGGACATTTGAATTCCTACAGCGGGCTCAGGATCAGGTCAACTCCAGACCGATGTCGAACAGATCTTATTGCTTCCAGCAGAACCTCCGGATACAAGACGGTTTGCCATCTGTTGGCCTTCAGTTCCCTGGAACTTCTATAGGTACGAAGATACCAAGAGAAGGGGGGGTCATAATCAAACTATGACGTGGTTCTCTCAAGATCCCGTCTGACCCCGTGCAGAACCGATCTGACTCCCACAGATCGAGTCTCCCCTGTTTGCACAGCTGGCTCGTCCCCTGGTTCGGTCCATGCTCTTCGGGTACCAGATGGCCTTGACCTCAAGCCTGTAGTTAGCCACCCTCTTCGGATCACTTCATCGTGGAGGCGAAGATCCCCAAGACCTAGGTAGACGTTTCAATGGTACTCAACGAGTACTCATGCTGGTTGACTTCATCCAACTTCATCCCCGTCCAACGCTTGCAGTCAGGAGCACCGGGTCTGGATGTTCGCCGTCGCACACACGCCTAGGTCCCAGACTCAACGTGCCTTCTTATCTGACCCCCATGCCGTGACGTGACTGACTGGCTTAACGGTAAACAGATCTTTACTTTAGTTTATTGTGATTATGAGATGACGCAGCAATGTGTATTTCAAACGAAGGTCACGCTGTTTACAGTCGACGACTCCGCGCGCAATGCTATTTTAATATGTTTGTCGAGTTACGAAAGAAGTTTGAATAGAGCAAAAGAAACGAAGAGGACTGGAAGGAAAAAAATGTATATCGGAAGAAGGCATTTCTTTATTTCTCTTAAGCGTCACATTCTTTTGTAAAACGTCTTATTCCCGGTACAGGCGTCTTGCTTCTTCCTCTTTTTCGTATTGCATTGGCAGCATAGAAGAATTTCTTACTTTCTTTTCTTTGCTTGCTACTTTTCCTCGTCTATGTTTTTTTTCACTTATTTTTCCACTTTACTCTTTGATTCTCGTTAATTAGAAATCGTGTCCACCTCGACTCCGCCTCCGGTCCGAAGAAAAGCTCGGGAAAGAAGGAGAGCAACCAAGAAACACAACAAAGTGCTCGAAAATATTCACGACTTTTATTTTGAAATATGCCAAACAAAATGGCTGCGGGGACTCGACTTTGTCATGGAAGCACTCTTGTCGGGTAAAATGGTATCTACCCACGGGTATAAGGGTTGACTGTCCAAGTAGCTATACAGAAGGTCTCAATTGAATGCTACAAACAGAGCGTGGGCTTAGACAAGCTCTAAAAGTAAATGATCAAAATTACGATAATTTTCAAACTACGCAAAATAGATTTCACGAAAACTTGAAAATACCATATACCATGCGAAAGACGGGAATCGAAGTAGCGATCAGTTTAAAAATTCGAAAAAATTTTGTCCGGAAAAAAACTGAAAAAAAAATAAATCCACGAACACCCGAAATTCTCTTTATTTTTCTTCCTTTCTTTTTAGGAAGGCAGTAATTGGTATCCTAATCAAGACCATCCTATTTTCCACCTAATTCCACGTCTGGGTTGTCGTCGAGCAAAAAGAAAAGTGCCAATGGGCAATTTTTTTCCATTACTTTTTTTTATCCTACAAAGATCGAAGATCGATGTCCCGATTAAAACTAGAAATTGGACAATATAAGAAGTCACGATTTGTCCAGCTCTAAAGAAAAGACCGATAGAAGAAATTACAATTTGCCCGTCCATAACCAAAACCCGAAACCTAATGTCAAGCTTAGGCCGAGTCTCCACTATGTATACGGCTATACACATTTTTTGCTACAGTTTCACCATACCCGTTCCTATCTATACATATATACAAAGCAATATGTAATTAAGTCAAGTATACATATACCCTTGGTACGTATGCCAGCAATCCTACAAACTTCCCTAATAATTATTACCTCTGCCAACTTTTTCTAGAACCCTTCCCCACGACCCCGTAGCAACCCCACCGAACCCTGCCGACAATTTCGCAAGTTTTGCCAACACGTTAAACGCGTTAATTGCTCAGAATTTCGTAACATTGTAAAAATGACTTAATATTAGAAATATCATTATTTTTAGGGAGAAACAAAAAATTAATAATTAACCAACACCAATTACAATACCATTACCATAATTTTGGCATAATACATAACCATGTATACACAGTACAACGATAACCTGTCATAACGAATCCATAAGAAATTCTAAAGGCCATTCGACGTAACTCTCAACCTTAGCCAAAATGGCATCTAGAACATCCCAAGCGACTTAATGTACCTAAGTACCATACATACTAGACATACTGTATATACCGGGTGGCTTATTGGTCCATTGGAAAATTTCCAAATCACTCGGCTGGCGAACGTTAAGGGACGTTAAAGGGGTAAGTATTTGCATGATAATAATTCTGAAGGCCGATCACTCGCCAAGAGGGCGTTGAGTTAGAAGAATCTAGAAGACGAAGTAAAATGGCGACGAAGGGCCTGAACCGTCAATATATACATATATACAGGAAGTACATAAAGCCAAAGAAGACCAAAGTTGGATAAGAACTAAAAAAAAAAGAAAGAAAAAAAAGCGACACTAAGAATGCCGGGAGAAGAAGAGAGAAAAAGATGTTAAACGTAAGGAGAGGAAGTGGCAGAACCGGAAGTGAAAGAATTCAAAGTGGAAGCCAAAGCTGAGGCATTTGCTCCCATAAGCGTCCCATAAATTTTCAACGATCTTAGGATGTAGGTCGGACCGATAGTCCCTGCGTACTGGCAACTGCCATATACCCGGTTACAGCTAACTTCTCCTCCTACATTATATATCCACAGTCCATTTCTACCCGAGCATAACTCTCTTCTTCTTCTTCTTCTACTCAATATATATGGACGAAGATGGTAGGAACGGACGAATTCGTTATTTAGAGTGCACTGCAACCCTTTTCGCCATGGGATAGCCGAATTTCAAAAACCTATATGGCTGCTGTTGAACTGAATTTTGATTTTCGATAATACGCCAAAAAAAGTGGGTTTAAGTAAGTACCACGCGCACGTATATAAAAAAATATATATTTACAGGATATAGAAATTTCAAAATTTTTTATATACCCACATAGCAATTTTTTTATTTTTATTTTTTTTTCAATTTTCAGGACAGTGGACTACTCGCCCACCACGGGGAGGAACTGAGAATGAATTCCTTTTTACGATTATTCGAAATGGAGTCGGTAGTAACGACCTCTTGGAGACATTCTGGTAATGGTTATATCCGTACCTTTAAAATCTGGGTATCTACCAGAAAGACGCTTTCCGGTTCATGACCGATTCCATCTACAATCTAACAGTCCTATAAGATTTGCCAAACAGTTTTAACGTATCGATTGAACGTAACATTGATACTCGAACGACGCCTGGAGGGATCGTCATTTTTCTTAGTGTTATCTGACTATGCCGAACCTGCCCGTCTACTGCCAGCGAAAAAGCACGTCGAGTGACGTCATTTTCAGCTAGAACGACGATCGACACGAAGTTTCCAATAATATTCACCATAAATGGCTGCCAAAACGACGTCGTCAATTTTCCAAAACACTGCAAGAACGATAAAGCCAATTACAAAGTATGCCAAGTACTACAAGAACAAACCACTAAAAAAAAAAAAAAAAACATTAAATTTTTTTTAATAACTCAACATTAGAAAATAAAAAAAGTGACATTGAATTTATATAAAAAAACATACTTAAAATATCAAATCCACCTGTGACCCCAAATTCGGTGTAAAATCCACTCGAAAGAAAAAAAAGGAAGAAATTTCAAAAAACAATACAAGAAAACCAGAAATAAGGATTTCAAACAAATATATAAATACCCAACTGTATTCTTGTAGTTTGAGCAAAAAAGTTTTCAAAACAAAAGTTACACGAATAAGAACCTCTTATATCTTTTTCAATAGCAAGATATACACCCGCTATCAAACTCTCTCGATACTTTTAGGCCTGCCAGCCGTCATTCCCCACGGAACAAATAGAAGGAAACAAGAAAATTCCGTGAACCGTAGGTGAAGCGTTTCTTCGTCGACCAACAACAATACGGCACCGGAATTCCTTGCGAATGCCGATGCGACGGACGTTTATGGCATACCGATGAAGTGGCCGTTCGTCGATGAAGCTTCTGACGACGTGGCTTTATTGCGCTTTTATGGGACTTCCCTTTATGAGTTTTTGGATTATAACTTTCCAGGCCACTACGAACGACGACCATCCCCTATCCCCTCCCAGCCCCAACCCACCCACTACCAACTACCCATTACCTACCGCTAACGGATATATGCCTGCTGCTAAGCTTATTAAGTTTTTGCCATCAGCCGTAGTTTGTACCTTTGCCATATGATATTTCGCTTCGTTATATACATATATATGCCACATGTGGATAGATAGGAGAGACATAAATACAGACGAGTTAAGGTTAGGTTAGGTTCCTATTAATCTACGTTTAATGGCCGCTTACCTTTCGTTACAGTCCCATCAAAGTCGGGCTAGGTTTTAGGTATTACCACGTAATCCTCCAGACGCGGAAGTTCAGCTTAATTTTCTTTTTTGTCCTTTTTTTGCACCAAGATTAATTCCCTAGGATTTTACTAGCTAATAGAGAGAGCGAGAGCGAGAGAGAGAGAGATAGAGAGAGAGAGAGAGAGAGAGAGAGAGAGAGAGAGAGAGAGAGAGAGAGAGAGAGAGAGAGAGAGAGAAAGAGGGAAAAAAGAGGTGATCGATACTGGTAATACTGTGTTAATAGGGATTATTCATTTACTTGCTTCAGTGGAATGTACGGGGGTCATTTGGTTTTATATGGGGATTTACGGTTTTTTAACTTTTTTTTTTGCGCAAAAAAAAGGCATGGACTTTATTTTTTTCTGAAATAATTTCAAAGTATGGGACTAGTATATTTTTGAGTTTTTTTTAAAATCTGATATGTACTGTATTGCATACGTTATCTATTGTGTGATTATATATGTGGATAAATATGTTAAAAGGTGGTTTTCAGGACTTTTTTTTTTAGTATTGGTGTTTTCCAGGATGGACCTGGGAATATTCTACGTGTAAGATATACTTCCAGGGCCATTAAGGTACACTCACACGGAATTTTTTGGGCTAAGAATATTTAATACTAAGAATATAATTGTAATGGGCTAAGAAATGGCTTCGTTAGGTTAGAGTAGGTTAGAACTTCATTTATTTATATATTTCGAATATATATATATATATATATATATATATTGTGACGACACTTTTTAACGGTGACGCACAAATAAATGGCACCGCGAGAAATAATTAATGAAATACTAAATTATTGGGCGCCAGGTATAACCAGAGTTACACCGCTGTCTCCTAAGGACACCCTGGCCAGCTCTTATGCGGTGGGGTCCTGGGTCTGGGAGACAATAATCAAAATCTGAAAATTAGGGAGGTTCACTCTAAAAACTACTGGAAACGACAAACTATCGGAACCAAAATTCGGGGACGGATCCGATTTATTTTAAATAGAAAATATAAGAACAAGATGGTGAAATACAAATGATAATTACAGAAAACTGATCGAGATGATGCATAACACACTGGGATATTTACCCGAACGATATTATACAATAATGTTCCCGCTGGAACAACGCAACATATTTTTTTTAAAATCTGATATGTACTGTATTGCATACGTTATCTATTGTGTGATTATATATGTGGATAAATATGTTAAAAGGTGGTTTTCAGGACTTTTTTTTTTAGTATTGGTGTTTTCCAGGATGGACCTGGGAATATTCTACGTGTAAGATATACTTCCAGGGCCATTAAGGTACACTCACACGGAATTTTTTGGGCTAAGAATATTTAATACTAAGAATATAATTGTAATGGGCTAAGAAATGGCTTCGTTAGGTTAGAGTAGGTTAGAACTTCATTTATTTATATATTTCGAATATATATATATATATGTATATACATATTACTCTCTGTGATATCCCAGGTGTAACACGACAGCAGTGCAAGAACTGAAACACGAACATTATATGACAAACACTATCATGTACTGGTAATGTCGATAATCAGTTTACATGACAAAATAGCCGCTGGGCATGTAAATTATAGATACAGATTTCATAGAAATGCCTGAAAATTTCATACATCACATACGTATATACGTACCGAGATGGTTTTGAACAAATTATAAAAAATAATGATATCAAAATAAAAAAATTCGTATAGTACCAACAGATAAGTAATGTATCCCAAAAATGCATGTTATTAACGACTTGTCACGATAAAAATTTCAATATGGCCGTCCGACCCCTCGACACCCTTAAACTTGCATTGTTAACCCCATTCCGCATTGCCAACCACCCACCATCTTGGAACCTTCGTTTAATTTACGAGATAAAAATAAAGCGCCGTGGCTGCCATCTAGCGGCAATCGGTAGAAGTTAACCCACGTCGAAAAGCCTGAATATATTTTTAGGCCGGTACTCCCGGCTTCGAGGAGTCATCCAGATTAATCGAGAGACGATCGAGGGGTTGCGATACTCGAAAAAGGTTAATTAAGCCGGCTTATCGAATGCTTAATTCAAGGGTTGTAGAGAACAAAAAAAAATTCGGAAGCCATGATACCCCCCCCCCC